ATATATATATATATATATATATATGTATATACAGGGGTGTATACATATACACACACACACACACACAGTGTGTGTATGTATACAGCTTTTGGAGCAAGAAATGCTGCCATGCAAGTTACATCCTTTTCAGCAAGGGAGGCCCCAAACTGTTGAGCAGTTTAAATCCTAGATCAAGCAGAAACAGAAAACATTTCACTTTCAAAACTGAAGCAACTGGTCTCCTCAGTTCCCAAACCCTTGCAGAGTGTTGTTAGAAGAGGTGATGCAACACAGCGGTAAACACAGTCCCTCTTATCCTGTCTTTGCTGATATGGAATTAAAAAATGAACATTCTTTAATTTAAAAAAAGTTTTTAATTTTTAAGTCTCAACATCTGATATGTTGTCTTTGTGCTATTTCAATTGAATATGGGTTTTAAAATATTTCCAAATAATATTATGTATAATATCATTTTATTTACAGTTTACACAGCATCCCAACCTTTTTGGAATTGGGGCTATATGTGACAAACAGAATTTAAATTACATTCAATTTAGTAAAGACAGTCTCTTTCAGTGATATATGTGTATATAACTACAATTAGCACAGTTATTAAACTGACACTGTCCCTCGTCCTTCAGGCCATATCAAAACATCACAGAATTTGAGGGTCAGGATGGCTGTGGCTCCAACAGCTGGAATATGGTGGATGTAGAGCTGAGGCCTGACAAGGACGCAGACCCTGGAGTTCTGCTGTCCAACCTGAAACCCTGGACGCAGTACGCTATCTTTGTCAAGGCTATCACTCTCATGGTGGAGGACAAACATATGCCAAGTGCCAAGAGCAAGGTGGTCTACATCCGCACAAGCCCTTCAGGTAATTGTTGGAGAGGTGCCAAAAGAGTGAAATTGTTTTTTAGCTCAGCTTCCACTAAAGGTAATGTAGAGTGTTAGTGTCTTGAAGTTTCATCTTACATACAGTGGTGTGAAAAAGTGTTTGCCCCCTTACTGATTTCTTATCTTTTTGCATGTTTGTCACACTGTAATGTTTCAGATCATCAAACAAATTTAAATATTAGTCAACGATAACACAAGTAAACACATCATGCAGTTTTTAAATGAAGGTTTTTATTATTAAGGGAAAACAAAATCCAAAACTATATAGCCCTGTGTGAACAAGTGTTTGCCCCCCTGTCAAAACACTGGTTTATCGCACCTGAGTTCAATTTCTCTAGCCACACCCAGGCCTGATTACTGCCACACCTGTTCGCAATCAAGAAATCACTTAAATAGGACCTGCCTGACAAAGTGAAGTAGACCAAAAGATCCTCAAAAGCTAGACATCATGCCGAGATCCAAAGAAATTCAAAACCAAATGAGAAAGAGAATAATTGAGCTCTATCAGTTTGGAAAAGGTTATAAAGCCATTTCTAAAGCTTTGGGACTGCAGCGAACCACAGTGAGAGCCATTATCCACAAATGGCGAAAACATGGAACAGTGGAGAACCTTCCCAGGAGTGGCCGGCCGACCAAAATTACCCCAAGAGCGCAGCGACAACTCATCCAAGAGGTCACAAAAGACCCCACAACAACATCCAAAGAACTGCAGGCCTCACTTGCCTCAGTTAAGGTGAGTGTTCATGACTCCACCATAAGAAAGAGACTGGGCAAAAATGGTTTGCATGGCAGAGTTCCAAGATGAAAACCACTGCTGAGCCAAAAGAACATAAAGGGCCGTCTCAGTTTTGCCAGAAAACATCTTGATGATCCCCAAGACTTTTGGGATAATACTCTGTGGACAGACGAGACAAAAGTTGAACTTTTTGGAAGGTGTGTGTCCCATTATGTGTGGCGTATATGTAACACCGCATTTCAGAAAAAGAACATCATACAAACAGTAAAATATTGGTGGTGGTAGTGTGATGGTCTGGGGCTGTTTTGCTGCTTCAGGCCCTGGAAGACTTGCTGTGATAAATGGAACCCTGAATTCTGCTGTGTACCAAAATATCCTGAAGGAGAATGTCCGGCCATCCGTTTGTGACCTCAAGCTGAAGCGAACTTGGGTTCTGCAGCAGGACAATGATCCAAAGCACACCAGCAAGTCCACTTCTGAATGGCTGAAGAAAAACAACATGAAGACTTTGGAGTGGCCTAGTCAAAGTCCTGACCTGAATCCAATTGAGATGCTGTGGCATGACCTTAAAAAGGCAGTTCATGCCCGAAAACCTTCCAATGTGGCTGACTTACAACAATTCTGCCAAGATGAGTGGGCCAAAATTCCTCCACAGCGCTGTGGCAGACTCATGGCAAGTTATCGAAAACGCTTGATTGCAGTTGTTGCTGCTAAGGGTGGCCCAACCAGTTATTCGGTTTAGGGGGCAAACACTTATTCACACAGGGTTTTGTAGTTTTGGATTTTGTTTTCCCTTAATAATAAAAACCTTCATTTAAAAACTGCATGATGTGTTTACTTGTGTTATCTTTGACTAATATTTAAATTTGTTTGATGATCTGAAACATTACAGTGTGACAAACATGCAAAAAGATAAGAAATCAGTAAGGGGGCAAATACTTTTTCACACCACTGTAAATTAGCATAGTGAAATGGATTGGGGTCATTCCAGGTGAAGACATGACCACAGCAGACAGTAAAGGAAGAACTGTCAATGGTGGTTGTAGCAGTATGGGAAGCTAGAAGCTGGAAACTCACTGATGCCAGAATTCACCTGTTTCTCTGTAACAATATCATTCAGTTTCACAACAACACACTTAAGTAACATGTAAAGTTCTCTTCACATTTCTGCTTGTTGTTCAGATACATGCAAGTGATGACACCTCTGGTGTTAATCCAAACATATAGTGGAAAAGAAGAAAGTTATTTGAATAAACACAGCTACAACTCAAATAGGTGGAGAAAAATATATTTTAAAAATATATAATGCAATTGGATGAAAAGAAAGTCTGCTTTAAACAAGTCTAGCTGCACCTCAAAGACATAGCAGTGCTGTGATGTCAGTGAATCACATCTGGACTGACAGACTCTGTATCCCAGCCTGAAGGAGAGAAGTTTTCCAAAGTTGTTAAAAATCAGGTTCATCAGGCAGCCACATAGTGATGACACATCAGGATAATTTAAGCTTCTGTCTCTCAGCACCGTCCATGCCTCAGGATGTGCGAGCGTACTCTAACTCATCGACACAGTTGGTGGTACGTTGGTCGCCCCCTGTCTCACCCAATGGAAACCAGACCTACTACCTGGTCAGATGGCAGCAACAAGCCGAAGACAGGGAGCTGTACCAGCACAACTACTGCTCCAAAGGTGCGCACACACACACACAGACGCGCTCAAACCTCCACACTTGCCATTATTGCTAGTTGTTGACTACACATCCTCTTCATCCTGCAGAGCTGAAGATCCCCATAAGGATTGCTGCCATAGGTGTGGGAGACCAGGAAGAGGATACTAAGCCCACTAAGCCAGATGCAGAGGGGGCAGATAAAGGCCCCTGTTGCCCTTGCCCCAAGTCAGTTGAGGACCTGGAAGCAGAAGCTGCTGACGCTTCCTACCGAAAAGTCTTTGAAAACTTTCTGCACAACTCTATTTTTACACCAAGGTAAGCTGCTCATCATAATTTCATTGTTTGGCATATATGTGGATTAACTTCACCTTTAACCCTTTTTTGTCTGAAACAAAATTAGACTATGTCATAGGGAAACTCTCTTTCTGTGCTGTTTGAATGTAATATGTGAATTTAATTTTCCAGGTAACTTCTGTGCAGAACTGTTACTGTCTTCAGTGTTTGTCAAACTGTATTTGGCCATTATATAGTTGTGCTTCAATAAAAAAAAGTTCAATTAAATTATGAATTATATTTCTGTTTTTGTCTTGTTTAGGGAGGTCAGTTTGTTGCATTGCACTTCAAACATCTGGATCACATTCTCTCTCTTTGTCTACACAGACACATGCAGAGCTTGGTCCAGTTGATGTTAAGTAGTCCTCAGTATGTTTTCCAGATACAGAATAAACTAAATGGATGTACTTGGTTCCAGAGATAAACAGGTGTCATCACATTTCCTGCATTGTCTCTTCAGTCCAGCTCATTTTCTCTTCATAACCTCAGACCGCAACGGTGTATGATCCAACATCCATGCCACCTCCTAAAGTGTCTATTTGAACTCTACTTATGCGATTGTGACATAACACAGACATTTCCACATCTGGTGGAACTGTCTGAAACAGCTAGAGAAGGAAAACACTGGTCAATTGCCCAGTTAAGAGAAATATAATTAAAGGTAAAATGTTAAAGCCCATGAAAGGAATCTAACCAGTACACATTTGGTTTCGTATGAAACAAAATCTGCAGCACATGGCAAACATGTCTCTTTATGGAAGGGAAGGAAAAAAAACTGTAAAGAACAAAATGGAAAACTTGTTGCACTGTGGTCACATTGGAAGTGTTGTGTGTGGTATCTCACATATTGGCATATACTGCTTGTGAAGATCAGTTGCTGTGAAGATGTTAATTTTCTTCTCTCTCCCCCCCCCCCCCTTTTCTCCTGTTGTTTCTCTATCCTACATTCTCTTCATCTCACTTCAGGCCACCAGATCGTCGGCGTAGAGATCTGTTTAGTATTGCCAACTCCACTCACTCCCATCAATATCGTCTGCGCACCAACAGCAGCACTGTCTCTCCTCTCCAAGCTGCTGGTAACAGCAGCAGCGTTGCTGACCTAGAGCCAGTGGTCAGAGAGTTTGAATTCATGGAACAATCAGTGACAGAGCGTGAACTGAAGATCTCTGGTTTGCAGCCCTTCACAGTGTATCGAATCGATGTTCATGCCTGCAATCAACAGGTCCAACGCTGCAGTGCCGCAGAGTTTGTGTTCTCCAGAACCAAGCCTGCAGGTTAGAGGGGAAAATTACCTCTTTATCAGTGTAGTACATGCTAATTCAGAGTTTCAGTTTGTAGCATCAGCAACAGAGTCTTACAGGTAGTATGTGTGTAGCGCATCTCGGATGTTTTTCTCGGACACTAGGTCATCTGTTTTTTTGTTAGTTTTTTTCTTTTGTTGTTGTTTTAACCAACATGTGATCTCCCCATGTGGCCACCATAGTAATGTATTCTGTCTGTGGTTCTTCAGAAAAGGCTGATGACATACCGGGTCAAATGACATGGGAGGGCCATGAGGACTGGGTGTTTCTGCGCTGGCCAGAGCCACCTCATCCCAATGGACTCATCCTCATGTATGAGATTAAATTCAATCTGGCTGCTGAGGTAAGACAACACATGCATATCTACCTGCTAGCTCACTAAGAAGCTGCAGATTTTGACAAGGCTTTGCGGTTCATTTATCAGGTTGTCCATATCTCAATGAAATATTGGTCCACCCCATTGTTTGACTGTTAGCTGGAGGAGCATTCGCCCCATGAGCCAAAGTTTTCTTTTGCCCATTCATTTGTAGGGTGTTAAAATCAAATTAAACCATTTCAGTTCTGATTTTGCCTTTGATAAAAAATACATTAATAAATAAATGCCTTATATACAGTATTTCCTTGTCTTTATAATGATGGGTCCATACTACATAATAAAAATTATTTATTTTAAAGAAAAAAATCTCATGAACTCAAAAAAAAAAAAAAACCCACACGAAACTGCAATCTGTTAAATGTCAACATTTGGTCTCATAAGTACATATTATTGATCAATCCACTGACCTATTGACCAAACATGATGGATTTGTAAAATTCTGTATATAATAATGTCTTTCTTTTTTGTCTGTTTTGTGTGTGTAAGACTGAGAAGCATGAGTGTGTATCTGGTCAGATGTACAAAGCCCAGCGTGGCATTCGGCTGTCCAACCTCAGTCCAGGAAACTACTCAGTCAGAGTGAGAGCCACATCACTGGCCGGCAATGGCTCCTGGACACACGCTCTAGATCTTTACGTGGCTGAACGTAAGATACACACACTCATCACTGTGTTTCTGTATACACTGTGACATTCCTTAGCTGGTTTTTCTATTAACCATAATAACAGTCCCAGTAATCAAAGTGTTTGACTCAACAGGATATGAGAGCATCCTCTACGCTGTTATCTTTGTTCCTGTCGCTATCATCATCCTCATTTGCCTTCTGGCTGCAATGTTTGTGGTCCTCAACAGGAAAAGGTGTGTGAATCTGTGTACTGTAGTTATGTGTAGAGCACAGCAAACGTGTTGTGTACATATAAAACACATGGAAAGAAAACACAAGATACAGGATGTGTGACAGAAGTATAAAATAAGTACACCTTAGCCAAGCCAGTCCTTCTGAGAAAACCCAGTTGAGAATGGCTGAACATGCAGGTTTGTCCTCTAGATTAAATATTTGAACTACTTGTTATTGACCTGTTTGGTCACATTAAGATCCACACCTTACACCCCACTCAAACTAACACACAAACCAAGGCAGAATGCTTCTAGTAATTATAGTCCATAAAACTAAGTGGCAAGTAAAGATACAATTTGGACTTATCTGTGACTGGCACCCTCTTCTGCAAGTGGTTGTACAGTGCAATATTTAGTAAGTGTTTGCATCACAATGTCGACTTAAAAAAATCCCTAAGATGACAAACAATTGTCTCCTTTTTGTATTTTAAGAGACAGTCTAGTAATATAAAGGATTGAATTTACACAGGAAGTGACCCCCCTCTTCCTATGCTGGAATAAACCCTTGAGACAATTTTCTTTCATCGTGCATCAATATTTTGATTTGATCCAGCCCTAGCAGGGTTTTATATTAAAATGTTTCAGTATTCTTTGGCAGTTCAAACTATGATGTTAGAAAAGTTAACAAGGTGAGACGAAGGAATACTGAGACTTTGACTATTATCAAGGCATCTTTTAATTATTGCAAGAAGGAGCACTACATCAACACTCGAAGTCTTTGACAATAATGCTCAGAGGAGCAATCCCTATGAAAGCTAATTATACTGTTCATTGCAAATTTATTGTTCTTTGTTCTGCCAGGCAAACATTTGCCCCCTCCAGTCGTGGGGGTTCGGGTCATCATCAAGTCACCATGTGTGTTTTCTTATCAGCAATTGCCTATGTCCTGACTTCCCGACCTAAAGAGCAATAAACTTTTACAAGCAGTTTCCTGACTTCTTTAAGCTAAAGAACATCCTTTTACGATGACTGCACAACATTTGCTCAGAGTAAACATTAGTTGCACACAAGAAGGATAGTTATGTCCAGTATCTTTCCATCAGATCTGTATAGTTAAATACAGTATTGTTCAAAATAATAGCAGTACAATGTGACTAACCAGAATAATCCAGGTTTTTAGTATATTTTTTATTGCTACATGGCAAACAAGTTACCAGTAGGTGCAGTAGATTCTCAGAAAGCAAACAAGACCCAGCATTCATGATATGCACGCTCTTAAGGCTGTGCAATTGGGCAATTAGTTGAAAGGGGTGTGTTCAAAAAAATAGCAGTGTCTGCCGTTGACTGTACAGACACAAAACTATGTTGTACAAACGTTTTTGTTTCTAGGATTTAGCAATCCTGTGAATCACTAAACTAATATTTAGTTGTATGACCACAGTTTTTTATAACTGCTTCACATCTGTGTGGCATGGAGTCAACTAACTTGTGGCACCTTTCAGCTGTTATTCCACTCCATGATTCTTTAACAACATTCCACAATTCATTTACATTTCTTGGTTTTGCTTCAGAAACAGCATTTTTGATATCACCCCACAAGTTCTCGATTGGATTAAGGTCCGGGGATTGGGCTGGCCACTCCATAACATTAATTTTGTTGGTTTGGAACCAAGACTTTGCTTGTTTACTAGTGTGTTTGGGGTCATTGTCTTGTTGAAACAACCATTTCAAGGGCATGTCCTCTTCAGCATAAGGCAACATGACCTCTTCAAGTATTTTGACATATGCAAACTGATCCATGATCCCTGGTATGCGATAAATAGGCCCAACACCATAGTAGGAGAAACATGCCCATATCATGATGCTTCACTGTGTACTGTGGCTTGAATTCAGAGTTTGGGGGTCGTCTCACAAACTGTCTGTGGCCCTTGGACCCAAAAAAAACAATTTTACTCTCATCAGTCCACAAAATGTTCCTCCATTTCTCTTTAGGCCAGTTGATGTGTTCTTTGGCAAATTGTAACCTCATCTGCACGCGCCTTTTTTTTGACAGAGGGACTTTGCGGGGGATTCTTGAAAATAGATTAGCTTCACACAGACGTCTTCTAACTGTCACAGTACTTACAGGTAACTCCAGACTGTCTTTGATCATCCTGGAGCTGATCATTGGCTGGGCCTTTGCCATTCTGGTTATTCTTCGATCCATTTTGATGGTTGTCTTCCGTTTTCTTCCACGTCTCTCTGGTTTTGCTCTCCATTTTAAGGCATTGGAGATCATTTTAGCTGAACAGCCTATAATTTTTTGCACCTCTTTATAGGTTTTCCCCTCTCCAATCAACTTTTTAATCAAAGTACGCTGTTCTTCTGAACAATGTCTTGAACAACCCATTTTCCTCAGGCTTTCAAATGCATGTTCAACAAGTGCTGGCTTCATCCTTAAATAGGGGCCACCTAATTCACACCTAAACAAAAACGTTTGTACAACATAGTTTTGTGTTTGTACAGTCAACGGCAGACACTGCTATTTTTTTTAACACACCCCTTTCAACTAATTGCCCAATTGCACAGCCTTAAGAGCGTGCATATCATGAATGCTGGGTCTTGTTTGCTTTCTGAGAATCTACTGCACCTACTGGTAACTTGTTTGCCATGTAGCAATAAAAAATATACTAAAAACCTGGATTATTCTGGTTATTCTGGTTAGTCACATTGTACTGCTATTATTTTGAACAATACTGTATGTGTATGCATGCGCATATAAACACTTTTGTTTTTGTTTTGGTCAGGAACAGTGACCGGCTTGGAAATGGAGTCCTTTATGCCTCTGTCAACCCAGAATACTTTAGTGCTGCAGAAAGTGAGTGAAGTGTGTGTGTGAGAGAAATGTAATGCAGTTTTGTTGTTGTCTGGATAACTGACAACATCCATATAGGTGCATAGGTCTGTACTAACATATACATACATGTGTTTTTTTGTCTGTGCAGTGTATGTACCAGATGAGTGGGAGGTGGCACGAGAGAAGATCTCGTTGAGTCGTGAACTTGGCCAGGGATCATTTGGCATGGTGTATGAGGGCTTGGCAAAGGGCGTGGTCAAAGATGAACCAGAGACACGTGTCGCCATCAAGACGGTCAACGAGTCGGCCAGCACGAAAGAGAGAATAGAGTTTCTCCATGAGGCCTCTGTCATGAAGGAGTTTAACTGTCACCATGTGGTACATACAGACATCCATATTCACTCATACAGAACAGCAGTGGGCATGCGCCACATTGTACTCACTTTTATTTATTTAATTTTTTATGGGTATTTTTATAGTTAAACTTATGTTGGGGTTTTAAATCATTAGAGAATGACACGTTCAAATTCAAATCATTTGATGATAAATAAACACAAGGTTAGGAGTCCGTTCTTGTGTCATGGTGATGTGGTGTGCTGTGTTTGTTGCAGGTGCGACTCCTTGGTGTGGTCTCTCAGGGCCAGCCCACCCTGGTCATCATGGAGCTGATGACACGAGGAGACCTCAAGAGTTATTTGCGCTCCCTCCGTCCTAAAGAGGTACTGTCTTGTAAATCATCAGGCGCAATAGGCCGTAGTAGGGGTGTTGTCTTATAGCTGGTCCAAATAGCAGGCAAATAATAGAACATTCAGTATTGACAGCTGTATGACACTGTTTCACTGCTGATATTGAGTGTGAACTAGGGTTGCAATGGTACGAGATTTTCACAGTATGATAACCGTCTCAGAAAATATCACTGTATTACGGTATTACACAGTTACTATTATTACCAGCTACAGCAACCCTCAAAGGAATGAAAACAAAAGTGTCTTTTTATTCCAAGTGACTGTTGATTGACCTTGATTGCAGCACTAGATTGACCCAAAATAACCAAACAAGAAACTTGATACATTTTTAAAAAGCATATAATTATAACATGTTATATAACTACAGAATGTTAGTTTACATATTAGCACTAGTAGTAGAGAAAGTATTCACATCCTTTATTTAAGTACAAGTACTAATATCACACTGTAAAAGTTTTGCATTGAAAATGTTAAGTAAAATTAAGTATTATCATGAACATGTGTTTAAAGTATTAAAAGCAGAAGTAGGCTACTCAATGCAGAAAAATATTATAGTATACTGTATATCCTATACTGTTGTACTATTATATATTAGGCATTACATTAACAGCCTGACACTCATTCATGTAAAAGCAAGATTTGACTGTTATAGTTGGTTGAGATGGAGCTCTTATTAACTATTTTGTATCCAAGTGCAACTATTGATTATTTTCATTAGGAAATAATGTGGTGATTATTTTTCTCCATTAATTGATTGACTGGTTTGCAAAGAAGAAGAGGCTTTATTTTATTGCCTTTGCAACATTGTGACACATACAACAAAATTTTGTTTGGAGCTGAGGGCCCCATGCCACTGCGTGCATACGCACCGCCACCACAGGCAACTTGGGGGGATTCGGTGTCTTGCCCAAGGACACTTTGACATGTGGCCTGCAGGCACTGAGATTCGAACCTTCAACCTTCCAGTTGGGAGTCAACTGCTCTACCCACCCACCACTGTTGCCCCCCTTTGGCAGCACTGAGAAATGTCACAGTGATACTCTAATGAGTATCAAAATAGTTGCTAATTAATTGTAGGCGCATGACAGCGCAACCAGACTGGTCCTGTCTTCACTCTCACACACACACTCACTCATGTGAGCTGGGAAAGCTTATGTGTGTGTTTTTGGGATCAGTGTGAGTCCTGTTGTAAATAAGAGATCAGCGAATGAACACACAATGTGGAAAAGAATTTTGATAGCACATTTTATGACCTATGTTTATGCGCTCATACATTTTACTGTTAGGGATTAAAGTTATAAAAGGGACACACTTTTATCTGCATGGAGAGATGTGTGAGCACAAATTTGGTTGTTAGATTAGCTATGGATGAAACTGCAGTCAGCACTAAATACAGGAACCTATGATAAATGGTGTCAACTACTTTTTGAACAGTAATGTTTCCCCTGAACAACTACATTAATTGTGCAAAGCAGCAGCACAGTACAGCTTTTTCATTTTTTGTAGAACTCTATCACATAGTCAAGCAAAGAAATTCTTTAAATACAGTATAATATACTCTAGGGAGCTGTATAGATTTGAATGTAGGATTCACATAGCCTGTGGGACAGCTAATCGGTGTTTATTAGGACCTTGTTCATCATGTTAGGGTCTTGTGTCCCGTCTATCTGCAGCAGCAGTGGTCGAGCCTGTCTCTCCCTCCTCTGAAGAAGATGCTTCAGATGGCCGGGCAGATTGCTGATGGTATGGCTTACCTCAACGCCAACAAGTATGTCCACAGAGATCTGGCAGCCAGGAACTGCATGGTAGCCGAGGACTTCACTGTTAAGATAGGAGGTAAAGTGCTGCAGGGGACAATGTCAGCTGAGAAACAGAATGAGGGAGGGAGGGAGCATGCTCATTAAATTGAAACAAAATGCAGTGTCTGCCCAAATATCAGGTTTATTACCAAATCAGCAGGGTAACCTTAATCCCACTACAACGCGACAAGTATAGCAAGAAGTCTGAAGAAATGTATACCCAATATTTGGCTTGAAATGTGTAAATGTCTTTCTGTAGACAGTGCCAGCACTTAATTTCCTCCCTGTGTGTGCATCTGTGTCTGTGTGTGGGTAGATTTCGGCATGACCCGAGACATCTATGAGACGGATTACTACCGCAAAGGTGGTAAGGGTTTGCTCCCTGTTCGCTGGATGTCACCCGAGTCTCTGAAGGACGGAGTCTTCACCACCAACTCTGATGTCTGGTAAACAGGCGCACAAACAAACTCACATGGCAGCCTCATCCTTTGTGTTTACTGCTTCTTAAAAATGTCTTCTGATTAATAATAATAGAAGACACACTTGTCACTCCCTCCCTCTCTTCCCTCTGTGTAGGTCATTTGGGGTTGTATTGTGGGAGATTGCCACTCTAGCAGAGCAGCCCTACCAGGGTCTTTCAAATGAGCAGGTGCTCCGTTTTGTCATGGAGGGAGGGCTGCTGGAGAAACCACAGAACTGTCCTGACATGCTGTAAGAAACAAACACACATACGCTTCTCTGCAGATTCACACATCAGCAAACCACCAGTGACAACATGCTCTTGTCCTCCTGTCTGTTTGCACACTATGTTTTCTTCTACTTTGGTAGTTAAGCTATAAGTGGCTGCTGTTTATCCACACGAACAGTGGAGTCCATTGGAATTTCCACACCACAGTGCTGAATGTATTCACAGCTGCTAGTTTGTCAGTGTGCTGTTGTGTTCTCCATGATGTGTTTGCTCCCAATATGAAACAGCCCAAGTATAAATCCACACTGAAAGTGTTGTAAGCATGGCAGAAAAATTTGGCCACCAACCACAAAATACTGAGGATACATCAGATGCTGAAGTCATGAGGAAGACAAATGTGAAGTCACAGGGTTTTCTGTGAGAGTAGTGATGATGCCTCACTTCTAAAATCAAAAGTTCTATTGATGAGAAAGTTCAACAATAATTTTAAAATAGCTAAATGTCCATAAACATATATTAAACATATCCACAAAAATGTCTATATCAAGTGCATGCTTTTGTACAATATCTTGGTGTCTTATGCCATCACTGGTAACTTTGCATTAGATGCTGACAGGTCTGTCACTCTAATACAGTACACAGAATCCACTGTAAACAGGAATATTTCAGCATTTTGATACCACTCTCCCATTTGTATTGTAACTGTATAGCTATGGCCAGCAGCTGGTTAGCTTAGTTTAGCACAAAAACTGGAAATGGAGAAAAACAGCAAGTCTGGGTCTGTTCAGAAGTAAAATAATTCACCTGTCATCATCTCGAAAGCTCATTCATTTCCATCATGTATATTTTTTGTTTAATCCATACAAAAAAAACCAAGCATTAAAATAACATGTTGTGGTTTTTGGAGCCAGGCTAGCAATATCCCCCCATTGCCAGTCTTTGTGCTAAGCAAAGCTGTCAGCTTTACCTACAATAGCTGTTGTACAAATGTGAGAGGTACCGACCTTCAAATCTACCTCATGGTAAGAAAGCAATAATTGTATTTCCCAAAATGTCAAACTGCATCTGTAATCTTGCTTCATGTCACTACACTTCAGTAAAAGCTAATTTCTTAACAGTATAGTGAACAATATAGTGAAAAGATAAATGGACCAGCCATCAAGGGGATACAGTGCCTTGCAAAAGTATTCATACCCCTTGAATTTTTCCACATTTTGTCACATTACAACCACAAACTTAAATGTATTTTATTGGGATTTTATGTGATAGACCAAAGTATCACATAATTGTGAAGTGGAAGGAAAATGATATGTGGTGTTCAAGATTTTTTACAAATAAAAATCTGAAAAGTGTGGCGTGCATATGTATTCAGCCCCCTTGAGTCAGTACTTTGTTGAAGCACCTTTCGCTGCAATTACAGCTGCAAGTCTTTTGGGGTTTGTCTCTACCAGCTTCTAGAGACTGCAATTTTTGCCCATTCTTCTTTGCAAAGTAGCTCCAGTTCAGTCAGATTGGATGGAAAGCGTCTGTAAAGAGTAATTTTCAAGTCGTACCACAGATTCCCAATAGGATTTAGGTCTGGACTTTGACTGGGCCATTCTAACACATGAATATGCTTTGATCTAAACCATTCCATTGTACCTCTAGCTGTATGTTTAGGGTCGTTGTCCTGCTGGAAGGTGAACCTCTGCCCCAGTCCCAAGTCTTTTGCAGCTTCTAACAGGTTTTCTTCCAGGATTGCCCTGTATTTAGTGCCATCCATCTTCCCATCAACTGTGACCAGCTTCCCTGTCCCTGCTGAAGAAAAGCATCCCCACATCATGATGCTACCACCACCATGTTTCACGGTGGAGACGGTGTGTTCAGGTTGATGTGCAGTGTTAGGTTTCCGCCACACATAGCGTTTTGCATGTAGACCAAAAAGTTCAATTTTGGTCTCATCTGACCAGAGCACCTTCTTCCACATGTTTGCTGTGTCC